CACACACACACACACACACACACACACACACACACACACACACACACACAATACATTAATTTTGAACCTTTTGCTGAAGTTGTATAACAGTGTACAGCAGTGTTTTTGAACACATCATAAAGTGTAAGGCATTACATCTGCACTAACCATGTCACTCATCATTTAAAGCAGTTAAAGTTCTTGTCATTCAGTGCTTGTTTTTTATTTTCTTTCTTGYTAAGTGAATTTTCATATTTAGCTGCTGTTTGTCTTGGCTGATTGAAAGGAAAGTCGGAAAAAGAAGTAGACAATCTCTAAGGATCACATGGGGTTTTATTTGGATCGTTAGCTGCTAGCTCTGCCCAAACTTATCTTTAGTGTGTGTGTGTATGTGTGTGTGTGAATCACACAGCAAGATATGCACGGTGTCTTGGCAACAGTTATAACCCAAACAGACTCCTCACTTTGTTTCCGCTACAAGTTTGTTTACTTAATTAAGAATGAGTTTTGAGTCACCTTCATTGCAATTTTGTTGAAACATTTTATCTCGTCACAAAGCTTTAAAATAAAAGATGCAAATTACACATTAATATGTGCAGCTTCACGAGCAATAGTAAATCTTTTGGTAGAGGTTCAGTGAGGCCAAGATCTCCAATGGAGATCAAAAGAACTTTAACAAAACAAAACTAAAAATTGTCCTCTTGCAAATTTGTCCCTTTGTAAAATGTTTATCAAAAAAACACGACTGAAATAAAATCAAATTTACTTATATGTGTGTTAAAATGTTTTTCTTTGTTCACTTCTTTTACAGTTTAATCATGCGTCTCATTCTTCTGAGTGTTGTGGTGCTGCTCCTACTGGTGGAATGGGGTACTGCAAACAGAATGCTGTCCAGGAGAACCAAGAGAGAACTTGCCAGTCCGCTTCATGTCGGTGGCATCAGGGACCCGTATGGCTCCTACTGCCAGAGGAGAGGAGGGTGCTGCCCCGGGAGAGACGACCTGTGCACCGTGCCCTACCTGGACACCATCTGCTACTGCGACTTGTTCTGCAACCGCACCGTCTCTGACTGCTGCCCTGACTTCTGGGGTCACTGCATGGGCATTCCTCCACCTTTCATTGGTATGTAGGGGTTAAATGTGTACGCGTCACTAGCCTTTCCATGAGTGTGTGGGTCTGCCATTGTTGGTTAGATTTATGGCGGAGGCCTCGATTTTCCAACAATCTTTTCAAGTGCTGATTGATGGTACTCAGTCTGAGGGCTGGCACCCCTTGCCTTGGAATATGTTTACCTTGCACAGCTGATGACACAAGACAGAGCTCCTGTTGAAAGTCACCTGTTGGACAGACATTATGGACACTGATATACCCTCGTCCCACTGTCCTTCTGTTTATACATCCAGAAACTGTGATAATCTTCACAGAATAGACTGTTTTCAAACTAAAACTGTACAAACGTGAGATTTTCCTAATTAGCCCAGAGATGTTTCTTACCTCGAAGATATAAAAACCACTGGAAAAAAAATGGAGGTTTCATCAACCCCAACMTAAATGTGCATATGATCTCACATACGAAAAGTAGGGAAAAAAGCAGAAAAAACTATTTATTTAGTCTTCTCTCAGTTTGTTTCTCATTAAAACTGTCATACATATTATGGTATGCAGTCTTTATAGCATACATGTTGTTAAAGGACTTCAATTCATAAAAACTTTTATTTTTTGTGTATTTTGGCACAAATAGTAGGGTTAATTTCAGGCATGTTCACACTTTTAGATTAGGTAAAACCATTCCACATAACAAAATTAACTAAAAGCATTGAAAGTGGAAAAAAGGTGCAAAGCTATATTAAACTTGAAAACTTAAGGACCTTATAGAAAGAAATGTGTAACTAGTTTGGTATTTTTTTTGTCTTCATACTGCCAGTCAAGTGGACAATATTTAACTGATTTCCTGCCAACTAAGAAGTGTTTGCTTGACTTCAGCTGGCCTCCCCTCACAGCTACAGCTTTATCCTCTCTGCAGAGGTGTAAAATGTGCCAAAGAGAGCAAAAGTACCTGAGAACAGAGCAGCGAACAGTGGGTTTCTTATTAACCCACAGAGCGAAGGGGGGGTGGAACCAAGAAAGAATGTGGGCTATGTGTGTGTGTGTGTGGGGGGGGGGGGGGGGCTGTTTAAAGCACAGCTGTCCTACTGCTACACTGTACTCATCTAAATTTACCAGTAATATTCAGAAAAGCAGAAAATGTCCACATTGTGTAACAGCATGATCAATGTCAAACTTTGGTCAGAAACACATAAAATTCTGGTTGTTTTTGTGTATTTAGGAAAATACCTCAGAAATCAGCATTTATATCTAATATAGATTTTCTCTTACAAAGAAAATAAACCAAACTCAGTTAAATTTGATGCTTTCAGATGGAGTTTGTTTACTCGGTTCAGTAAATTAAACTTGAAGGAGCGGAAACAAAACAGAAGCAAACGGTGCAAACAGATCCATGATGATGATCATGATGGAGAAAACAGAGGAATTTTGTACATTTGTGATTTTTTTCTCCCTTACAAGTTATGGGTTGTTTTTTACGTTTCTAGAAGCATCCTTTCCAGGCCGGAGGAGGTTATGCAACCCGTGTCCAGGAGGAGGTGCAGGAGGCAGCAGCCTTCACCTCAGGTAGTTTGGACTCTGCATGGGACAAGCCTCAGACACTGTAGGACAAAATTAAAAATGTCCATCAACTAGAGATAAACTGTGGGAGTAACAGGCTGAAAATAGACTCGTCTGAGTGCGTTTGATTTAAAAAGTTCTCACCTGATAAGAAGAGGAAAAGCTCAGAGAGGGAGAGAAGTGAGAGAAGGAGGCAGTGAAGCAGGGGACAGGGACTGAAGTGGGGGAGTGGTTAGCTGCCTGTATATAGAGAAGGCTGAGCCTGACAGAGCAGATCCTGTGTGAGGAAAAGAGAAAGGAGACTGACCTTTTAGACTCACTACCTGTGAATGACTTCCTGAGCAACGCATCAACAAAGATCTACACTTTTTCTGTTGGATTACATATAAAAAACCAAGATTTCTGCCTCATTCAAAGGTAAAACCAACTTTTTGTTTTGTTTCATTCAACAGCAGCTCTGGTTTTATGGCAGATTCCAGGCAGGTGCAGTCTGTTCTCAAATTACCTGAACATCTTTCCACGTTGACTTTGTCCTTTCCTGTCAAGCCTCTGCTGTCAGAATTTATTTACTTTCTGGGTGTGGACAGATGTTTTGGAATAGAATGAAGGAATATGAGAAGTGATTTTTCTCAAAGGTTATTGGGTCCAGTCAGTAATTTGTCTAACTCACAAATACGTAAAGATTAAAAGTTTTTTTTTCACTCACCTGTTGGAGCACAAGCCTCGTTCACTTAAAAAGAGCTGCACCGCCATTCATCCCCCTTGACTGGCCTTTAATGAAGTGAGCTGAWCAGAAAACAGTTGACAGAAGGAAATAAAGCTGGAAAGGTTTTTATAGATACACAGTGGAGGACAAATTATCTGCAGGGTGGTGCAGGTCTGAGTCAAAGTTCGGTTCTGAGAAGACAAGTGGAGGAGTGACATATTAAAGGTGAGAAAGTTCAAGTTAAATCTAATATTTGATGATGATACATCTCTGATTCTTTTAGGATCTGTCAAATCTAAAATGACAAAACTTTTAGTTTTTTTTGTTCCAACTTCAGACAGCTGATGATAATAATTCACAATGTCTGCTAATGTCTGGAATTGATTTAGCTGTTAAAAACTCCACTTTATGAGGTTTTTTATGTTGTTGCTACAATTCACCATCCCAGCTGTGACACAGAACTGCTAATGTGTGACAGTTAGGACTGTGGATGTGAGTGTGTGGGTGCAGAGGGTTCATCTGCCCCGTGTGTTGGCCACAGCTGTCCTGAGCTCTGATGGGCCATATGGCAGCTTCTGTTACACGAGATGTAAAAACAAGGACTAAATCATCAATGTTGTAAACATTTAGAGATCTAAAATATTCACTTAAAAATCTATATAATCCTCATCACTTGTTGGTTTGATTTAGAAAGTAAGTTTTAACATAAATGTAGGCCAAAACGCTCTTTTTGTGCCAAACACGAGAAAAAGCTTTATTATATGTAAAAAATAAAAGATTGATGCCTGTTTCTGTTAATATGATTCATGGCTTATCAAATCCAATCTGCATATTGAAGTTTAGGAGGAAATTACTTAATTATCACTTTCAAACTGAACTAAAGGTCAGTGAGCAGCCTGGTGGGTGTTTTACTGGCTGCTGTGTTCAGTCTGCCACAACAAAATGCTTGTGTAAAAGAGAGGACCATCCCATTCTGCCATCTGTTTGTGTGTGTGTGTGTGTGTGTGTGTGTGTGTGTG